ACCACTCACCATTACTTAAACTTAAGACCTTGAATCATCAGTGGAATGCATAGTTATGTTGTATGCATTACGCCGTGTTCCTATATCTGACCAACACAGTCACTTGCTGTTTTGGGTTGCCCGGCTGTAGTGAACGGAGCCCACGACGGCTAGAAGGGTTTGCCTGGGCCAGCGGCCTTGAAGCAGAGAAAATTGGTTGTTGCAAGTTGGTTAAAAAGACAGCCGTTAAAAAGATATTAGCACGGGAGGACAACGTTTTTATTCCTCGTCGTGTCGTGTCCGAGCGTTGTTAAACGCGCACACCTTATTCGCTGACGCTTTCTTGCTCACTGGAGTCCCCAACTTCATCTGCCATGTCGTCCTCCGTGTTGTGGTCGTTCTTGCGGTTTCGATCGGCGTCGTTGTTTTGGTCACTGTTTTGTTCGTCATCGGAGGCGTCGTTGCTGCCGAAGATGGCTTCACCGAGGAGCGGTTTGAGATTGGCAGCGGCGACTGATTTGGTGAGATCGAGTTCACTCTGGACACACCGGAGCGCGGCTTGGAGGAAGGTTCGGAGTTCGCCCGCGCGAAGATCTTCCTCTTTCCGGCTGCTAGGAGAAGGGTACCGCAGCAGTTCAGCCTGTTGCGGGTTGACGAATCTGTTCATGTGTTCGGGTTGAACGACAGCCGCAAGGAGCCCGAGCACTTTTGACACCGTCCGGGACTGTTCCTCCTCCGCCGAGGACTCGTTTGCCTGTTTTTCTCCCAGAGGCAACAGCTGGCTCCAGGTCTTGTCGAGGTTCCCGGCGGCCTTAATAATCCCGTGTTTGTCGCGCTTCACGCCCAAAATCGGGCCCAGAATATAGTTGGTCGACAGCTTGGTATCGTCAACAGTCGCCAACAACCTCACCACAAACACACCGTCCACCGGGTTCACCAGATAATCGGTCCAGGACAGTTCCTCAAGCTGCAGGTTCTTCTTGCTCTCCTCAAGAAATGTCTTCCGCTGCTTCGCCGACCAGTACCCGCAAAATCGGCAGGCTGCCTGCACACCATCTTTCGTCTTGAGCAGCACCCGCGTCGCCTCGAACGTAGCTTCCGCCAACTTGCTCATATCATCCTTATTAAACATTGGCGTCGCTCCAATTGGCATCGCTCCATTTGACGTCACTCCATTCTGCGACATGGATGCGCCCTTAATCGCACTACAGTCGATAATGGCTAGTATGGCGAGGTACCTTTGGGCGATTTCGGATCCAAGTAGTTCTTTGAGCGTGAGTTTGTCGACCAGTTCTTTAGAGCGTTCGCGGATTGTTTTCCGAAGTTCTGTCGACGCCTCTCGGATCAGAGCGAGAAGCTTGTCGGTGTTGACTGCGTCCGGGTCGGTGCGGGGGAACTCGGACTCGAGAAGTCTCTGGAAGAACAGACGGTATACGAAGGGGGTTANCAGTTTGGTATTTTTCTTCCAGGCGAAATCCCACACGCGTGCGCCGCTCTTGGTCCAGAAGGACTTGTAGCTAAGGCTGTGGACGAGTTGTTGGTACACGGTTTTGTCCTTGATGGAGTAGTTGAGCATCTTCATGCACAGGTGGCTGCCAGAGCTGGACGTGGCCATCTCAGCGAAGACCGGTGTACATTTGGCCAAAATTGTTTCGCGCACGTGTGCGTTACCCACTTTAAAACACATTTGCAGAGAACGAGACACAGCCTGTCTTGTCAACTCCGCCACGTACTCGACCTTGGCCGCTGCCGCCTCTTTGCTCGCAGTCGGAGCCGTCTGCACACGCACCGCCGCACCAACAATCGGGCTCTCCGCATCCTCGAAGTACTCTGTTAAGATACGCCCCACCACCTCAGCCACACCCGCGCCGTCCTTCTGCTTACATGACCGCAACAACTCTAAATATAAACGCCCGCACTTCCTCTCAAACGCCCAACGCGGGTTTTTCGCCGCCTTCTCTTCCGCCACCACCAGCTTCCGTGCACGACTTTTACTCACACCCTTTGCCTTCTCCAACTCCGACGCCTTCTGCACCCGCCGACGCTTCACCACGTCGCCAAACGAAGCTGCTTCCCGCACTACCGCGTCCCGCACCGCTCGCTTCATACCAGGCCCAATAAAATTACCCGTCCGGCCGCAATATTACCTCCCCACTGCGCCCCGTTCCAACCAGCCCTCACACCACCGGCAGCTTCCCCACACCATCGGTAGCTTCCCCCACACCATCGGCAGCTTCCCCACGCCCCCAGCAGCTTCTCCACACCACGGCAGCCTTCGAACGGCTGTCCGTGATTACCGGTGTGGGTCTCAATTACGAGGTCTCAATTACGAGGTCTCAATTACCAGGTCTCAATTACGAGTCTCAATTGCGAGGTCTCTGTTACGAAGGTGAAAAGCAAGGCTATTGCCTTTCCTGGTCGCGTGGGTGTCGAACCATGCGGTACGTCCGGGTCTCGTTGGGATTGCGGATGAAGATCTCGATACCGTAGTCGAGTACGGCAGGCGGTTCGGGCTCGGAATGGTCGTCGCTGTTGTGTCTGCGTTCTCCGATGGGTGGGGGGAGGTCAGTGTCGCCGATAGGAAAGTCCGCCGGACTATCGCCGGTAGGGGAATCCCTTACTTTGGACTGTTCACGCCTTTCGATCATCTGTCGCGCGTCGGAACTGCGCAAACCGGTGGCACTGTGTGACTCCTGCCCTGTTCGAAGCCTGGGCCCAACATTAAGGAGGTAGAGCTCTTGTCTCGAGACAAGCATTCCAGACTTGGTTTTGGGGTTAAACATTTCACTGGTTATTTGTTCGGCCGTGTTGGCGTCGACGGCAGTGGGCGTGTGCTGTTCGCCCAAGTCCTTGAGTAGGTGGGCGACGTACTCACCAAACGCGCAGAGTTCTTGGTCAGCCTGAGCGCGAAGGTCGCGTGTGCAGCGAAGGACCACTCGGGCGTGCGGGCGCAACGAGTCGGACGTGTGCTCGCTAGTATCCCCGGGCGTCGGGACCATAGGCGGGGTCTGAGCGGGCACGATCTCCACGTACTGGTGCCAATCGGCGATTTGGCAGTCGGTGGATTCGAACCAGCCCTCATCGATATGCTCCAACTCATCAAAATTCACAGAAGGCGCTTGATTGCTGACGAACACACTCACTCCCGCTGTTGGCGCCTGGTCCAGCTGGAGGTCGATTCGCTGCTTTATCTTGTCAGCAATTGCACTCATTCGCAAGTCGTCGTGCAGCACCTCCACCAACTCCTCAAATCCACTCGACCCTTCCGTCAAACCGCCAGACATCGGACTGCGTGCTCCAGGACTCCGACTCCCGCCCAGCGCTCCTTCCCTTGGCGATTCGGGTCTTAGACTACCCTCTTGCAAAGCACCTGGTCTTCGCGACCCACCTCTAGAGCCGGTTCTAGACCTTCCGGCGGCTCCAGTCCTTCCCGGTTGCAGCTCTGGAGCCTGTGCTCCCTCCGGCCCCCCTCTGGCGCCTGGACCTTCCGGACTTCTTTGGTTAAACCTTCCGGGACGCGCAGCAGTGCTGCTGTGACCAGTCGAAGTGCTCACGCTGCTGGTCGGCTCGTTGTAACTGCGCGGTTGACCAAAATGAATCGTCTCGTCCTGGGACGCCCGCTGTTCAAATCCCCGACGCTCACCTTGCCCGTTCCGGGCACCCAGTCGGACGGCGCCGCCGAGACCTCCAGCGCGGTTGATTTCTTCCTGAAGCGCCACCACGTCGCGTCCTACTCCTTCTGCGGGGCTGCGGGGACTCAGAGAACTATTTTCACTGACTGGACCAAGCGCCTCACAACTCTGCCACGAACTTGAACTTCTATCGTCCCCCGGATTCGGGTTCCATCCGACCCCTCTGGTCTCCGCTTCTCTTCAGGCATTGTGCCCACAGCCTGCATGCCGACCACGGAAGGTGGAACCTTGTGACCACATAACCACAAAGCCCCTACACTGCAACGCTGTAATGCAACGCAACACTACGATGCAATACAAACGCCTTGCCATGGGGCACGAATTGCATGAGCACACCTGCAGTAAGAGACCGTGAGTATGTAGAGCACAGTTCAGGTCGGCAGGGACCCGGTCAGGTCGGCAGGGACCCGGTCGGGTCGTGAGCGACCTGGTCGGGTCGTGAGTGACTTGCGGTCGGGATCCATAAAGAAAGGTGTATGAGGGAGAGATGCCATCAGGAAAAGATCCGGGTTTCTGTATTGTTAAATGCAGACTGAATGGCGACAGGTTCAGAATAGTACTTACCGCAAGCAGGAGGTCATAGCGGACTTAGGCCACTGGAAAAATGACTTGCTCAGTCGCTCATACTCATTGCTCAAAGTTGTAGTTAACCCAGCTGGCGGGAATATAGCCGCTGTTTTCCGGAAGCACGAAGACCAATCAATTGTCCTAAGAGTACGTACGCCAGACCTCCCTTCCCCCGCTCCCTTCCCCCATTCCAGCAGACCGCCCCGGTCTCCTTTACTCCACCTGGTCTCCCGGTGGCTTTTCCGTATATGTCCCCCTCCATCGTCCATCCCCGTTTCCCGCGTCTCCCTTTTCCTCTGCCAATCTGTCCTCAGAATCATTAATAAAGCTTTGACTGTAGTTGTATTCTGCATATGGTACGTTTTTAGACGAGAGTCCATGGACAGGCTACGGTAACACGAGTGTGATAGCTAGTCGGTGGACTGGTCGCCGGTTGGTTGTTGTATTTCAAGACGGGACAGTGCGCACTTACGATTTGAATAATTTTAAGAAGCCACATGCATACGCGTGTTGCAAGAAGACTGTGAAGCTAAGTTCCATCAATGACTTGGGCGTGGCGTTGGTGGAAGGGGATCGCTTAATTTGGTTCGATCTTCGATCGAAGCAAACACGTGTGTGGTGCGCGCCTTCCGGCGCAATGAAGGTGTTGGAGGTCTCGCGACCGTCGGGAGATGTCTATTCGCGTGTCTCAGCGAGTGACAGCGCCTCCAGCGGTTCTCCGGCGGCTCAAAGCGACGCGTCTCGGGGTGATGCGTCGCCAAACGCGTCGCCAAACGAGCCTTTGGCGCCGGGCGAGGATTCGCCGTCAGAGGAGCTCGAGGAGATCCCGTATGCTATGGTGACGACGGAGGCTAACGAGATCTGGCAGTGCTGGGCCGGCGGCAAGCGGCTGATCAACTTAGCGTCGGCGGGTGCAGAGACCACCTCTTCGGTGTACCTGTCGATGCACTTTTCGTTCTCGGGCAAGTTCGGCGCCTTTCGGACGGACGACGGCTTTTTGGTGATTGCGCCGATGAGCGCGCTGCGTCTGCCGGTGGGCATTACTGCGGCGGCGGCGACAGAGGTGACGGCGGTAGGCTTGGCGGCCACCGTCGTAACTACGCCTTCGCTGGTGGCCGACCAGTTGGTCTGGCTGGGCGATCACTGCGTGGCCATGGCGGTGCGGACACCGACTTCCGTAAATGCTAGTCAGTCTTGCGTTTTCATCGGCGGCCCCGGCTCCAAGTGGATGGATCTGCTCTTCCCTTCGCCCGTGATCTTGGTGGAGGGTCGCGACGTCAAGTACGTCAGCTACGACTGTCTGGGCGTGGTACAATACACCGAATCCGCAACGCTGCAGACCTTCGGCCCCGGCAGCTGTCACCCCGCCGCCATGATTTGCTTCGCCATCGACTCCAACGCTAGTCAGCACGAACAGTGGTCCTCCGACGACGAGGACACCGAGAGTGCCAGCCGAAACGCAGGCCTCGCGCCCGAGCTGAGCAAGTTGCGCGAGAATCTGCGCCGCAAAAAGTGCGACGCCGCGCTTGGCAACGAGGACCTCACCTACCTTTTCTTCCGCCGGCGCTGGCAGCAGCGTCGCCTCGGCGTGCGCCAGAGGCTGAACGACGCAGCCGACTTTCTCGACACACTTTCGCTGTCGGAAAAGGAGAACGCCTATGCCGTGCTTACAGACGCCGTCCAATACGAGTATGACGTGCGCAACATCGTGGTCATCCTCAAGGCCATCCGGCTGCTCGTACCGCGTATTAAGCGGGAGCAGCGCCGTGTGCCGGCGCTGCAGGCCGCAGCGGAGCCGCAGAGCGCGGCGAGAGTGAACTTCAGTCTGTACTACCGGCTGATCCGCGACTTCCGTGTGTTGCATTTGCTGCGAGCGCGTCTGGAGCTGCTGCTGACGTACCAGGACTTCCAGAGTCTGAAACTGCCGCGCGTGGTGGGGCTCTGTTGCCGCGACGCGGATCTGGCGCTGGATCTGTGCGACGCTTACGACCTGAGTCGTGTACGGCGCGCGCCGCGCGGGCGTGTGGCGGCCTTGCGCGAGGCGCTGGACACTTTGCGGGACGGCGTCTTGCTGGACCGGGTGGTGTTGGCTGTGAGTCAAAAGGACGGCGCGGCGGTGGAGCGTGAGTTACGTGTGCTCTGGCCCGAGTTGCTGGGTGCGCCTGTGCCCGCAGAGGTGGGCAGTGGCGGCCTTCGCCGCTGTTTGCGCGAACTGGCCGCCCGCCCGCGCCTCGACGTGTACCGCGGCGCTGCCTGGGCCTGCCTCAAGTTCCAGCACCGACAACTCGCCAAGACTGTCATGCGCCATGAACGTACACCCAGCGTCGTCCTCTACTTCCTCCGCCTCGTTGAAGACCATGCCGCCATCTTCCGCTATGGTCTCGCACACGACGACACTGACGCACTCGACTATGCCGTTTATCTTCACTGCCAGAGCGTCCTCCTCGCCGGTGCGCGCCCTGCCGCGCTCCACTCCAAGTACAACTGGACGCAACTCGAACAACTCATCCTCGCCGAGGCCCAGGCGGTCGCGGCTGGCGAGGCCGAACCCGGCGTCGGGACCGCTGTTGGAGGCAAGACCGAGGCAGGGGGCAAGACCGGGGGGAGTGGAAAGGTGATGCTGGGTGCGGGGTCACTGTATGCCGCGGCGCCGCAGCTGGCGGTACGGTACGTGGAGGAGTTCTTCCGGCGGCGCGGGAGTGAGTTGCCGCTGGCCACGGCCGATCGCGTGTGGGAGCGTTTCTTGGGGGAGTACCGGCGGCACTGGGCGGCTCCGGAGGCTGCCGCGGGTGCGGGTGCGACGTTCATTTCGAGTTTGATCAACACGCGTTCGTTTATGAAAGACAGCCGGAAGGGGCAGGTGCAGCGGCACGCGGCGGATGTTAGGCGGTTGAGTAAGACGGCGGCGGTGGGTGTGGCGTGCAGTTACTGCCAGTCACAAGCGTGCACGAGTTGCGCGGCGGGTTTGCCTGCGCCGTGGTTGGAGCGTTACGCAGATTTGTTGGAATTGCACAGTCGCGTGTGTGTGGCGGGTGTGAGTGGGGGGGTGTTGCCGGTGGTGTCGCCGCACACGACGGATGGCTCGGTGAAGGCGTTGGCGCAGGACCTTATAGTGCGGAACAATGAGAAGGGTGTGGCGGAATTGTTGGGTCGGTTGGAGGTGCCATTGCACGTGTTGTTATTGTGGAAGTTGGAGGTGCTGGCTGCGTTAGGTGAGTGGGGTCTATTTTGCGAGTTTGCGGTGCAGGCGGTGCGTGCGGCGGTGCCGGCGTTGGAGTCGCGTCTGAGTGCGGGTGCGGCGTTGTTTGCGAGCCGCCGTGACGACTTCTTTGCGAGGCTGCAACGACCGCGAGATGCAAACAAGTTGCAGTCGCTGGTGGGTGGTGTGCTCAGTCTTTCCAAGAGCACGCCGGCGCTTGCCCACTTCGCCCCCATTCTGCCCAGCGAAGTTCAGCAGCCCGCCGAACGTGCCGACAAGCACTGCCCCAAGGAACTTGGTGCCTTCGACCAACTGCCCGTCGTCGACTTTGTCGCCGTCGCCAAAAACCACGACAAACCAAATGTCGCCCTTTGCCTCGTCCCTTACATACACTCAACGCTACTCCGCGAAAAATGGGGCGGCCTACTCGGTCTCAAATCCGTCGAACAGTTCGCCACTAACGCCATCGAGTGCGCTGCCGCAAAGTGCGGCAAAAAACTGCCCGGAGGCAAACAAGGAGACTACCAACTCTTCCTCCAACTCAGCAGGGAGGCACTCGAGAACCGCAAAGCCATGAGCGCCAACCTCATCCCAGTCCACAACGTTTCCGCCAGTAAGCCGCACTCACAAAACTCCGTTCTCAACTCGAGTCGCTGAGAGGGCGGGGAGAGGCGGGACAGGTGTAGAGGGAGCGAGCACGATTCCACGACTTTATTGCAGACTTGACGAAGCAAGTCGACGCCATTGCGGCGAAAATACTCAGAGGCGGCGGCAGGTTCGCCAGCACCGTGCCCACCTGAGCGGCAGCCGCTAGTTTTCCAGCAGGCGGAGGATGTCGCGCCGCGCCACCTCCAGATCTGCGTAGACTTGCAGCAGCCCCTCCCGAACGGGCTCCGGTTCGACTCCTTGCGGGTCCGTCTCGTCGACGGGGTGGCCCGCCTCTTCCCTGTCGGGAGACTCTTCGGGGAGGGACTCTTCGGGAAGGGACTCCGCGGGGAGAGATTCTTCCGGGAGCGACTCTTCCGGTAGAGGTGTTTGCGCCGTTTGGTCCTCTTGCCTGGATGGGGCAGTCTCCTCGCCGTCCTGTGCGTTGCTCAGCTCGTCGTTGTCCGAAGCACGGTGGCTGTGCTGCTCGTCGGCCACGCGGTCCTCGTGTCCAGTTTGTTGGTGACCGCCATGGTCAAGTTCCTCTTCGCCTTTGTCAAGTTCTTCTGGTGGGGAGTCTGCGCCCGTGTCGCTGCTGAGTTCGCCGCTTGTGGGAGCCAGTTCTTTGGGGTATATCTTTGGCTGGTCGCGGTCTTTTATGCCTTCTAGTGTTTCGTCATCACCGTCCAAGACGAGAACAGACGGTTCCCAGGAGAGGGCGGCCGCACAGCCGAAAAGAAGCAGCCAAGACGCTTGCACCATGATGACCATGCAGCACCTAGGAGCAGTGCGTTCCGTCAGTGCAGCATCCAAAGGTGTCTTTGCCGGCTTGTTTGTCTGTCGTACGCGTCCCATGCCCGCCCATCTCGTGCTGTTGCCCCTATCGGGAACCCCTCCTGCTGCGAGGCCTGCCCAGTTCCCTCCCCTCACTGTGGTTTAATGTACTGCGTTTGAACAACACTTGTGTTGTGTCATTGGTTGTTGTAATAGGGGTTATTCGTTTTTGCAGAGAAAAATCGTCCGGTGCCACCTTACGCGCCGAAACCGTAGATGGTCCTTCCTTGTCTCTTGAGGGCGTATACTACGTCCATGGCTGTGACAGTCTTTCTCTTGGCGTGTTCCGTGTACGTAACAGAATCTCTTACGACGGCTTCGAGGAAGCCACGCAAGACGGTTCGGACTTCTTCATAAATCGCGGCGGATATGCGCTTGACTCCGCCACGGCGTGCGAGACGCCGGATGGCGGGCTTAGTGATGCCCTGGATATTATCCCGTAACACTTTGCGATGGCGCATGGAAGTGCCCTGCTTCCCCATCCCCTTGCCGGCTTTTCCGCGTCCACTCATCTCACTGGTCTTTTTAATGCAAAAATTACTAGCTCTTGCACTGTTTTTTACCCGCCCCTCCCGTAACCACACAGCATTTTTAATTCGCCGGAGAACTCGCTACCTGCCGTGGCAAGCCGGAGAGTCTGCGGCAAAAAAACACGCGATCTCTCAGTCTGATGGGCGTGTCAATCGCGTTGGTGAGAAACCAACCCGTCAGCCACGTTGTGCCGCGGGTCGCACAATCGTCGCGAGTTGCGTGAGTAGCTTGCGTGAGTATGCCACACCAAAATCTACCGCGCGTCAACAGGCAGCTTAATGCCAGCTAGCTCAAGGGTGTAACTGCACAAGAAGTGGTGAGACACGAAAAATGCGTGAGGACCCGACTGCCTTCCTGCTGCCCTGCGGGCTGAGTACGAGTCATGGCGCGCAACGTGCTGAGAGCGGCCGGGTAGGAAAAAAAGCTTTGTGGCCGGGCGGCGAGCCTGAGCGCCGGGGACAGAACGCAGGAAATTGCTGCCTCCGGCCCGGGCCTTTTTCAAACTTATCATCCCATGACGTACAGCAGCGATCAAGGCGGCGACTCGTCGATGGTGGCGGCAGGCGAAGCGCCCCGGGAGAACACTCC